TGTCCAAAAAAATCTCAGCCAACAGTGACTGCAGCTAATCAGCTACAGTCCAGGTACTGTGGCAGCAGCACCCCCACTACTGCCAGAATACAATAGACCAGCGGGAAGGGGCGTTATATGTATGGGGAATCTAGAGGTTTATTTCCGTTCATGTATGGCCAGCCTTACTCCTGCTCTCTGTCTTGTTTTTCTTTACAGGAGCTACTGCAGACATTCCTGCATAGAAAACTCTACATAGTTCTATTTATCTCACTGTCTTGTCTCTCCATCTAATTGATCGCTATAGACATATTAAGTGTCACTAAGGATCCCTATAGGCAGGGCTTGAAAAATCCACTCGTCTGTGACGAGAGGATGGTGGAGCCCGACGAGCAGCTTCCCGGCCGGCCGTTGTAATTACACTGCCGGCCGGGAGCTTTACATTCAAGCGATCGGGCGTCTCTAGAGACGCCCGATCGCTTGTATTACCAGCAGCTGTCACTGCCGTTGCCGGTCCCGATATCCATGGCTCTGTGACAGGAGATCAAAGGGAGTTCAGTATACGAACTCCCTTTGAGCATGGCTCTGTGACAGGAGATCAAAGGGAGTTCAGTATACGAACTCCCTTTGATCTCCTCTCAGTCCCCGAAAGCAGGAAGTGATGTATATTACATCACTTCCTGCATTCACTGTCACTCTCCAGCTACAGAAGCTGATGAAGCCAATCTCTGCTTCATCAGCTTCTCTGGGGGTCCCTAGGTGACATTAGGGGTCATGGAGACCCCTGATGTCTCCATAAAGAGGACCTGTCATGTAAATTGACTATCACATAGGGGGCTTCTTAGCCCCCATGTAATAGCAATAAAGTTGTGTGTAAAAAAAAAAGGTAATACAAAAATTAAAAGAATCATAAAAAAAATAAAGAAGCATAAAAATAAACTTTTTTTAAAGTCCCCGCCCCCCACATACACACGCCGATATGCGTTGGGTGCGCCTACGTGCAAAAACAACGATTGCGTCTATTGTGCCGCACATGTTACATATCGCTGCAAAGGTCGGAGTGAGAGCAATAATTTTAGAGCCATTAATCACTGAGAACACTAAACTGATGAGCAGTAAAAGCGTTTTAATGGTCGTCTATGGCCGTTTTTTGCGATTTTGCGGGCGCACGCAATTTTAAGGCTTGACATGTTTGGTGTCTTTTTACCCGACGTGACACCAACTTATGTTTTTCTAAAAATATGGATAAGAATAAATGTTTTAAGACATAACGTAGGGAAACTTTTTTTTTTTTTTTTACATTTATGGTACTTTTTTTATTATATAGTAAAAAAAATAATAACACCCCCCCCCCAGTGGTGATTTTATATACCTCCAAAAGAAAGCTCTATCTGTCCCCAAAAAATGCTAACATAAATTGCAAGGTTATAGTCCGGTCATGCTGACTGGTGACATTTTTGACTGACTGGTGAGACACCATCACATTTTTCAAGCCCTGCCTATAGGTATGATACATGCCGCTAACATTTATACTTGGGTTAAAGATATGTGACTTTCCACTGATTGCTAAGGGATACTGCAAACCATTGCAATTTACACCATTTCATGAAATGAAACCTGCAGAGTATTAAACCTCTTGTGAATTGTGTTTGCCTAGAACAACAATGCTATGAAAATAGAAGGAAATGATTCTGCATTCTTAAAAGAGAAATGAAAGGCATAATTTAAAAAAAGCATACGTATAAAAACATATACAAAAATGACATATACAAATATTTCGGCATCACCCAAACAAAAACAAATAATACAAATGGATTTCCTAAAATGGTATGTAAATGTAAGCAGAATATTTAAAGCAGATCGACAGGCACATCAAATTAACACTTGGAGTGCGGGGGATAGCCCCACTCAAGTGCTCATTTGAGACTTATCCTCTCAAATATTCACCTGATCCTGGCCGGCTCCTAGATGGATCCTTCCAGCCTGCCTCCTCTTCCGCTCGAGCGATCGAATGTCCCTTAGTGTCCTCACATTCTATACACTGTATAGATCGTGATGACTCACAGGACAGTAGACCACTGGAGCGGAGGGGGAGCGAGGCTGAAGGGACTGATCTATGAGCAAGCAGGGATCGTGGTTTGGGTGAGTATAATTGTTATTTTAGCTCTGAAGACAAAACAAGCACTTAACCCTTGCAGGTTTACTACACTACAAGGGTTAAGATCTGATTTGCCCAGAGTTATGCTTTAAATAAGAGGATTAGCCACGATATTAATTAGATAAGGGCATTTTCCTAAACAAAATATGTACAATGGCTTGCAAAAGTATAATTTGTATCATTTGATTTACACAACATGCCTACCACTTTGAAGATGCAAAATATTTGTTATTGTGATACAAACAAGAAATAAGACAAAAAAAATGAAAACTTGAGTATGAATAACTATTCACCCCCAAAGTCAATACTTTGTAGAGCCAGCCATTTGCAGCAATTATAGCTGCAAGTCTTTATGAGCTCCATAAGCTTGGCACATCTAGCCACTGAGATTTTTTCCCATTCTTCAAGGCAAAACTGCTCCAGCTCCTTCAAGTTGGATGGGTTTTCGTTGGTGTGTACAGCAATCTTTACCTCATGCCACAGATTCTCAGTTGGATTGAGGTCTGGGCTTTGACCAGGCCATTCCAAGTCATTTAAATGTTTCCCCTTAAACCACTCGAGTGTTGTTTTAGTAGTATGCTTAGGGTCATTGTCCTGATGGAAGGTGAACCTCCATCCCAGTCTCAAATCTCTGGCAGACTGAAACGGGTTTCCCTCAAGAATTTCCCTGTATTTAGTGCCATCCATCATCCCTTCAATTCTGACCAGTTTGCGAGTCCCTGCCGATGAAAAACATCAAACAGCATGATGCTTTCACCACCATGATTCACTGTGGGGATGGTGTTCTCCGGGTTATGAGGTCTTGGGTTTGTGCCAGACATAGCGTTTTCCTTGAAGGCCAAAAAGCTAAAATGTAGTCTCATCTGACCAGAGTACCTTCTTCCATATGTTTGGGGAGTCTCCCACATGCCTTTTGGCAAACAGCAAACGTGGTTGCTTATTCTATGAAGGCCTGCTCTGTGGAGTGTATGGCTTAAAGTGGTCCTATGGACAGATACTCCAGTATCCATTGTGGAGCTTTGCAGCTACCTCAGGGTTATCTTTGGTCTCTTTGTTGCCTCTTTGATTAATGCCCTTCTTGCCTGGTCCGTAAGGTTTAGTTGGAGGCCCTCTCTTGGCAGGTTTGTTGTGGTGCCATATTCTTTCCATTTTTTTATAAATTACCTGTTTGGAGAGTTCCTTGGTCTTCATGGTGCCCCTTGCTCAGTGGTATTGCAGACTCTGGGGCCTTTCAGAACAGATTAATATAAAAGACGAGGTCACCTCAGGTAAATAGAAACCAAACATGTCAAGCCTTAATATTGCACACGCCTGCAAAATCACAAAAAACGACCACACTGAAAATTGGCCATAGGCGACGCTTAAAACGCTTTTATTGCTCATCAGTTTAATGGCTCTAAAATTATTGCTCGCACTGCAATGTTCGCCGTGATATGTAACATGTGCGGTACAATAGGCACAATCGTCGTTATCGCACGTAGGCGCACCCAGCGCATATCTGCGTGTTTATGTGTGGGGCGCGCGACTTAAAAAAAATTTTGTGGGTTTTTTTTTTTAATGCTTTATTTTTTTTATGCTTCTTTAATTTTTGTATTACTTTTTTTTTTTACACAACTTTATTGCTATCACATGGGGGGCTAAGGAGCTTCTGTAGCTGGAGAGTGACACTGAATGCCGGAAGTGATGTAATAAACATCACTTCCTGCATTCTGGGACCGGAAAGGAGATCAAAGGGAGATCATGTACCGATCTCCCTTTGATCTCTTGTCACAGACCAGCCGTGTCGGTCCCGGTCGCATCGGGCACAGCGGATCTCAGGACCGTCACTGCAGTGGCAGCTGCTCCTATACAAGCGGTCGGGCGTGTAATTACTTAATTAATTAACAGCCGGCCGGGAAGCTACTCGTCGGGCTCCGCCGTCCTTTCTCCAGCCCTGTATATATATAT